GCAGAGTACCGCTTCGAAAATCTCGCTACATGTCAATGATTCATTGCACTACAAGATCCGACAGTCATTTTTTGCGACTTTTTGCGACTTTGGATGTAGCAGCCAAACATCAACCCGCGCCGGACCGGTGCTCGGCGTCAAACGCGCCGGGCCGGGAGGTGTTGATTGAACACTCCCCTTCTAACTCGGCTCTTGGGCCACATAGCGACACGTAGTAAGTGGCATTCGAAAGAGCGCCCGAAATTCCAGATGGAGTAATTAGTCATTTCTAGGTCAGGTCAAAGGTCACGCCACCAGAGGTCATCAAAGGTAGAATGTTGCATTTATCAACATTTATCGAAAACCGGCTCTTACATCGGGGACCAATAGAGCTACATCGTTGCGGAAAAGTGCATTCAATTGCTCTTTTAGCGGTCTTTCTGAAATAAGCCCTCAGATTTGGCTTAACCCTCGCCCCTAGTGGTGTTTTTCCAGCCGCGAACGTATAGAAGGGGTCCGTTGGACCCCCCGCCGTTTCGCCCCTGATCGGGCTAGAGCTTCGCGGAAAAGACGAGCGTGTTGCCCGTGACAAGAGGAAGCTGATGATACCCAATTGTAAGGTCCTAGGTCATCGATTGACCTTCCAGGTCAGGTCAATGACCCAAAAGTCGGGAAAATCGGGATCTGTTAAAACGTCGTAAAGGGTGGCTGCTATGGGTTTTTTTGGGTGCTGATCACGAATATAATATTATTTACGGTCATAGATGATGTCTTCATACATTTAGGCCAGGTCGGGTCAGGTCAGGTCAGGTCAACTAGTAAGGGTTTTGCCGGGTATTTGCAGTAGGTGGCAACCGCCTCTGACAGCTTTGTAACATGTTACGAAGGCACCAAAGCTACATAGTAAATGTTCAAATGGTTGCTAGATTCGAATTCAGCTCCAAAAACTAGCCTAGAAACATGTAAAACTCGAAAAAGTGAACCAAGGTCATCAAAGGTCAATGACCTTACCTGACCTTCTGGTGACCTTGACACCCATTCTAATGCATGGGAGCAACATAATATCCCATGTTTGAACGCTTTAAACCAAGAAAAGACTGCAAACCCGCGGCTAATGCGAGCCGACATACGCTGAATCGCGATTCCGGCCAAACATGGTCTCGAAAGAAGGTCACAGGTCAAAGATCATGAAGGTCAGGGTCATGAAATTTTCAGCTTAGCTGTAAAAGTAGTTATCGCGAGGGTACTGAAAGTTTCGTTGCGATCGGCCGCTTTTTACGTGAATTACTCGCAAAAAACCAAGGGTTCCGTTCGAAGATTCAGGCCCTGTCGCGCTAGAATGGCATATCGGCCCACTGTGCGCCGGCCGACACCGGCACCTCGTCGGTCGGCGGGGCGGCGCCTCGTAAAGACGCACACGTCAAACTAATGCCGCTTTATGGCCAGTGTGTGACGATCTGACACTGCCTGGGCGGTGGTGAGTGATGGCGCCCCGGGGGCCGGTTTAGCCGCGGCGCCGGCCCCGATTCATTGTTGGTATTTGTGAACGTCAGCCGAGCCACTGCTGTGGATGGCCGATCATAAGAGAACGTCAGTTGGGAGAACCGACCACCGTCTGGCCGGCTGTTATCCTGCGCACAGACGCCGTCCAGTGATGGAGGCCGGTGGCCGTGTCATTTTTCTCGTACAGCCCGGCTTAGTGCGAGTTTCACACGTTGTTCTGCGCCTGCTAACCTTCACCGCCGCTTTTTGCGCCGGCTCTGGCCACTCTGTTGTGCTGCCTGCACGGGCATTTTGCAGGTTTTCCCTTTCGCCCGCCGCTCTCGGCGCCGAGTGGTCAGGCTTTGTGTAGGTACTTGTACCCTGAACCCGAGTCCGTCGCCGCGGCCGGCGCCGGCGCCGCCTGCTGTTGCCTCGTTCTATCGGCGGCCGTTGCTCGTGCTATCGTCGGCTCTCTTCTGTCTGTCTGCAGACGTCAGCCGGCGCGCCATGCTTCGCTCATGTCCGTCTCTTATCGGTCTCTGTGGACCGGCCGCCACCTGGGTCCCTCCCACCCGCTCGGTCACACGAGACTCTGTCCCTCTGTCTCTCGTCTTGAGCCTCATCGGCGCGGCTGTCTCGGCGCCTCTCCGGCCACCCCGCCCCTCCCCGTTTGCAGTCTGGGGCTTTATCCGGTCGTTCCCAATATACCGGTAGCTGAGAGTCGCGGGCGCGGCCCATGTTCGTCGTATTGGCTGCTGTGGCGCGGCCCCGCCCGGCGCTGCCGTCTCGCCACTGAAGCTGCGCGCGCGCTGATCTTCGCCCGCCAGCGCGTGCGGCAGCCATTGTTGCAGCGTTCTGATCAATGCCGCCGCTGCCGCCGTCGGCCGATGTATCGGCCATGGGAGGCGCCGCCCCCGCCCCCGCCCCCGCCCCCGCCCCGGCCCGGCCCAGCCGCTGCCGTCGAGCCGGCAGACGCCACGGCTACCTTTGTACCGGCTCCTGTGTCGACCCATTGTTTCGTCGGGCGGGCGCGAGCCATCGGCTCCGGTTGCAGAGATGCGCGCCGTGCCGCAGCGGTCGGGCCGTCCCGACCTTGGCGGACCAAACGGCCAGCCATGTGCCGTCATGCAGCCGAGCGCGAGAACGGAGCTCTCTGTATTGATCGGGCGAGAGTGGAGCACGCGGCGGCGGCGGCGGCGGCCGGGCGCCGGTCGAGCCGGCCGATCAGCCGTCACGGGCCGTGCATAATGCGTCCGGCGACTGGCTTTGTGGGCTCCTCAGGCAGCGCCGACCTGTTGCCGCCTCCGCGGCGCCGATCAATGACGGCTGCCATGACTGCCCTCCCATCCTACCCTCCCTCCCTCCCTACGCCTCCGCTCGCTTCGACTGCGTGCCATGACCGGCGGCAGCGCGCGGCGGTGCCTAATTTTAGATGCCGTCCGCCGAACCGGCACGGTGGAGGCGCTGTGCAGTAGCTGTGGCCGTGAGAGGCGCCCGCCGCGCGCGGCTGACGGCTGCGGTGTCCCGCTCCGTCGAGCGGCGCCTCTACTGAGCGGCCCGAGTGTGCATGTATCACAGAATCACACCCAGGGAGCCTGAACGGGCCCTGTGGGAGTCGGCAGAGCCGGCCGTACGCGCTATGGCCACACCGCCCACACGGCACGGCAGCCGGTAGACAGACCGAGCAACATGTGCCTGCACGGTTCGGGCGACGCTGCACGATACCTACCCGCCGCCGTCATGTGGCTATGGAAACAGCCGGGCGGCCGCCGTGCTGTCGAAGGTGAACCAGTTTCAACGCGCCGCCTCGGCAATGAATGGGTACGCATCGGCTGGCCGCGGCGGCGGCGGCGGCGTCAAACCACGGCCACGGCGAGCTTCGGTGGCTCGGTAGCTAATTGGCGCTCGGAGCCGCTGGGCCGCCGCCGCTGACCCCGTTCCCGGGTGGCGAATACCGCACCCGCTCCACGCACTGATGAATGAGCGCGTATCGGAGTTGACGATGGTGGCAGCTCATGGAAGCCCGGCGCTACCGCTGTCGTTGTTACCTCCGCCGCATTTGCAGTCGTTGCAGTGCACCCGCGGTTTTATCGGGTACATGGTGAGTCGGTAGCGGCGCCGACAGCCCTCTCCGCCCGGCCGCTGACCCCGTATTTACGTTGGACCGAGCCGAGCTGCTCGGCCTCCGGCTGGCTGCGTGTCGAGACAATGGAGAGGGAGGAACTGTGCCACAGCGCGCCACGGTGGCTGGCTGACCCGGCCTATGACGCTAGTCAGATGATTGTTGCAGGCTTTCATGCAGTCTCAAAGTCAAGATTGCCATGAACGCTGGATTGTCTTCGACTCGCTAGGACAAATGGTGGATGACATCGGCATTGATTGATTTTATTCTCCGCATTCTCTCTGTCTCTTGTTTTCTTTGTTCTGCCGGCTGGTTCTCCCTCTCCCATATGCATTCCATGCTCCTGACCGGACCCCAGAGGAGGCGGATGCCCTCTGGCGCGCGCCTTGTGCACGTATCAGTATGTGGTGAACGGCCGGCGCGCGTGCCGCGTTCCTGCTCCGAACCGCCCTCCTGTCCGCCTTGTCCGTCAGACCGGCCCAGAGCGCGCCGGGGCTCAGCGGCGGCTCGCATGACCGGGCCGGCCCCGAAAAGGCCGCAGCCCGCCTGTCAGGCAGCCGGGCGGCGCAGCGCATAGTTTTCCGGGAACCGGTCCCGGCGAACGGAGCGGCGCGCACAATGTATGCAGCGCCGCCGCCTGCACCCAGCAGGTTATGCTAAGCGGAGCCGGCCGGCGTGCATGGCTCTCCTTGTTCTCCCTTCCTTGCCGGGTACGGGGCGCGGGCGCAGCCCCGCTGCCGCCGCCGACACGCCGGCCGCAGGGCATGAGAATGTCATACATTTCAAGCAGGCAGAAGCAGGACGCGTGAAACGCGCCGCGGAATGGGAACGGTCACCAGATCCGGCTATTGCCAGTCGGCATGGCGAGAAATTCGCTGCCGAGATTCGGAGCCCGTTTGGCTGCGTTTGTAGTCATGGGACGGTTGTTCTGTATTTTCGGGTAATAGTCGAGCTGATTTGGCCTCATGTGGGCTCCATGTTACCTTGGTTTCTGTCGCGAGCAAATTGGATGTAGCATCTTGCAGCTTTCTCGTCACATCCTACCGATGTTATTTCTTTGCTCCGACTGTACTTCGGAGCGACCTATCTTATCGAAGGCACGGGTGCATTGGGATCGAATTCTTTCAGAGCTAAATAAAACTCTACCTATAGTTAGTTACCTTTTTGTCCTCGCATACCTACAAGCTGAAATTTGACATTTTCACTATCACATAATTTGTTCAAAGCTGTGCTCAATACATACGGTAAAAATCAAAAGGCCATTACATCTGAAATATTTGCGGTACCCAATATCTTATATAATTCACCAATTACCAAGCCCCGATTATGATTGTGTGTGGCTAGTCATAGTGCGTTTTATCATGTATCACTAACATTCAGACATCAAACTCTAACGTTACGCTCCTCTGTTCGGCAGGTGGTGTTGTCCGCGTGCTCGCCGTACTTTCAGTCTCTGCTGCTGAACAACCCGTGTAAGCATCCGATCATCATCCTCCCGCGGGACGTGCGCTACTCGGACCTGCGGCACGTCATCGAGTTCGTCTACAAGGGCGAGATCGACGTGGCGCAGGAGCAGCTGGACAACCTGCTGCAGACCGCCGACCAGGTGAGCGAGATAAACATGCGGGACAACCTGCTGAACATGAACACTGAATATGAACCTTGCACCTTGCTAATGCGTATTAGCAAGGTGAGGAGGACATCATGTTCGCTAGACAACATGCTGGCTAGCCTGGTACAGGCCAGGATGGCTGGCCAACATGCTGGAAAAGGCTGACGAGATGCTAAAAGTGGCAGCTTTGCATGGAAAGGTGGTTGACCCGCTCATCAGTGACAAAGGATGGATACTGGATATGTAGAGACTGGGTGGGTTTTGTAGAGACGCCTTCCCACCCTAGGCGGTACTGACAGACCAGAAGCTGATGGTGAAACTGCTGTCTGCCGACAATTATCAGCCAACCGACCGCCGCAATACTGTTGACCTCGCGGGGTCAGGTGAGGTGCTGGTACAATCTGCTTCAACTGCTCGCCAGCATGGCAAGACGTTTCAACAGGTGGAATGGCCGGTGGCGTCGGCTTTGCCATTGGGAGGCTAGCTGGCTACGAGTTGCGATTCGCAATGCGCATGGCTGTAAAATTCTGTTGAGCTTGTAGGATCCCTGGGCAATGTTTATGCTGATTTGAGGAGTTTGATGGCGTCTATTCGCCGTAGAATAAACTGCATATGGAGGGTCATTGACACCCGCCCTGCATCAAGTAACCTTCAGCCGGCGAGTATTTGCGTGCACGGCATCACATGACGCAGCAGTCTGCAAACTGCCCACCCGGCAACTCTCTCTCTGCCGTGCAGACTCACAGGTCTGCAACTGACGGGAGATTTCAGTGAGCCAGTGAAGGCATCTGACGGACGGTTCCGGCGGTGCACTGCTCAGTGCTCACCAGGTCTGCACGCATCAAACGCTGTGCTTATGGCCGATCGTTGATAGTCATGATGGCCATGGTTGATTGGATACCCTAACCGGAGGCCTGAGCTTGCCTGGATTATGTGATTAGCAGCCTGTCCGCCGGCCGGAAGTGTCGAGACGAGGACTGTCCACGGGTCATGAGTGGCCGTTGACGACCGACGGTGACGGGCTGGATGGCGTGTGTCATCGGTTGGTGGACTTGGTCCGTCACCACGGCCGGGTTAGGTTTCTGATAGTGCAGCTAATGTGTTCCTGCATCGAGCCACGGTCTATCACCGTGCCCGTCTCCTGACACATCCGGTCTCGGTCTGACACCGTGCTCGACTCCTGACACCGGCGCTAGTCTCCTGACACGTCTGACACCGTGCTGTGTCCCGTGACACGCCACTAGGCGGTGTCAGTCGACACTCCACACTCGCCAGACAGCTGGCTCGATGGCCCAGATTGCCGCGCTGATTAGCATAATGCATGGCCTCCGAGACGGCGGAGCGGAACAGAGCAGAGAGAGAGAGGGAGGAGAAAAAGAGAGAGAGAGAGAAAGAGAGAGAGAGAGAGAGAGAGAGAGAGAGAGAGAGAGAGAGAGAGAGAGAGAGAGAGAGAGAGAGAGAGAGAGAGAGAGAGAGAGAGAAGAGAGAGAGAGAGAGAGAGAGGCGCGGATGGGCGGTGCCGAGAGGTCAGCGGCGCCGCGGTTACCTGCCGGCGGCGACAGACCAGCCACTCAGCAGATCAACGAGCCGGCACGGCTCCGCCCGTCTGTGTGTGTGCCTCGCGGGCCTGCCTCCTGTCTGCTGGCTGGAGCGCTGACGGGCGCTGGGTGCTGACGAGGATCGCTGACGGCCTCTGAGTGCTGACGAGGAGCGCTGACAGCCGCTGACTGACACCGAACATAGCTGACAGAACTTGCAGGACAGGTGTCATGACCGACTGACGGTCGCATGTCGGGAAAGCGATGACTAGTCAAAAAGTAGCTCTGATAACCCCCCAGAGTTGAACAGACTCTTGACAGCCAATCCCGGCCGGGGACAATGAGACTCGGAGATGCTGTTGAGACAAGGGCAAACTCGGACCAAACTGCAGCGCTTGACTGACGCTCCACTGCCCTCCGGACGGCTCCAGGCGACATTATAATTCCACGGGAGCGCCGCCCCGCCACCCACGCCCTCCTGTGACCCCGTTCATTGCTGCCTGTTTGTCGTCTGGCTCCCGGCGCCACCACGGTGACCTTTGTGCAGTGCGGGATGTCCAAACACCGGTGCCCGGAGGCGCCCATGGTCCCCGTTCGCCGTCCCTCGGACAGTCGCCGCTGCCGGCTCGTGAGTTGTTTTTGCATTCCGGGCGGTGGCAAGGGATGGGGAGGGTTGGGGGAGGTTGACCAGACAGAGAATTGAGGTCATGGATGAGGACTGCGAACAGAGAGAAGCGCGCAACAAAGCGTCGGGCTGAGTCGAGCTGAAGCGTAGCTTAGTACGTGAGGTACGCGAGTTACGTGAGTTCCGTGAGCTAAGAGCGGTGTGTCCAGCCGGTGTCGGTCGAAATGACCACGCTCGGCGCCGTGCCGCGCCGGTTCTGGCCGGGATTTTGTGAGGGATGTCCGTCTCTGACCGGGCCAGTATTGGGCCAACTGTGATGGAGCTCCGGCGGCGTCAGATGGAAGCCAGTTATATTGCTGCCCGGCTGTCTGCGGCTTATCGAGCCGAGCTGCCGGCCGCCGGATGGCCGGGCGGATGGGCCTCCTCCGTCCGCGCCTGTGGGGATCAGAGGATCAGCGGTGTGATCCGTGTGGAGCGATCGGTGGATCATAGTTGGATCAGGTCACACGAGTCTGTCCGGTAACATTTGTCATTTTAGAATCGGTATTTGAATCGGTACCTCAAGAAAACAGAAGACAGTGTGGGGTGTTTGATATCTTCCGGAAATGTTAAACTCCCAGTCAGTATCGTTAGTTCGTAGCTCTGCCGGTGATGGACAACTCATTGTTGAATTACTGCTATCCGCCGTACCGGGGTCTCAGCATCCCGTCTGCCGGCTCTCCGAGGCAGACAGCAGTTAACCGCACCGCCTGGCTCTCCACCCTTCTCTCAGCGGCGGCTTTCTCATTGTTTGCCGGATCTGAGAGAGACAATGGCTGCCGCCAGTTCCCACCGTCCTCACTCTCTCTCTCTCTCCCCTCTCTCCATGCCGGTCGAATGGCCTTGTCCGCCGCTCCTCTCTCTCCCCTCTGCTCTCTCCTAGTCTATCTTTGTTGGTGTCAGTGTGTACCCGTGTTGTTGAAAGCAGCGGTCGGCCGTGGGATTAGGGATACGAATATTCTAGCATGAAATTAGCGGCGTGTGAAAATAGACGGAGATCGGCACTTGAGTGGCCTGAAAAAAGTGGAGAGCCGCGCTGTGTTTTTGCAAGTTGTACTGTTTACACATGCTTTGCATAATTTGAATATAATCTGGCACACCAATCTGTTATGATTGCTTTGATAGGCGAGCGGGTATTTGTACCGTTAAGAGCATGTTTTGGGGATAGGGATTAATGTCATTGACCGGGAAATTGCGTAGGATCTATTCAAACTCGTAAATGTTGACAAAGAATCCTTTTAAGAAAACAAACTGACGGCGCGTGTTCTTCCTCAGTTATCTGCGCTCTCATTCCCTCTCAGCTATCAAGCTGCTTTCTTTCACAACTCCAATGACCCCGCTCTCGTTCCAGCTGCTTGGTATCGTGACTCCAATCCATGCTCTCCTATCCACTCTCGGTCGGCTCCAGTCATAGCCCGGCTTTCTCTCGTTCGGCCCTTCGGCCTGTCTGTAGACGGGAGGGCAAACTGTCTGTCATTAGATAATGAGACTGACGGGAGAGCTAATGAACCGACGCGGCACAGTATGGCTCCGGTCGGGACAGGTCACAGTGACCAAAATTCTCAATACATCCACTAAGCTGCCTGCAACTGCCGAGGCGACTTTGATCAGTCAGGGTTCCTGGCGTACGCACCCGTCAAGAGTATGCAAGTATGCACTCTACGTTGCCAGATAGTTGATCCAGTCTGACTAGTTTATTCCTGGAGAGGCCAGTTATGCAGTCACTGAACTTCGAACCGCCCGGGAAACGACCGATTTGTGAAGTATGCTACTCAGAAAGGTGCGTCAAAATAGCAGCATAGCCAGTCGGATCAGTTATTATTTCTGTGCCCTATGCTGCTCGCTTCATTTTGACGAGCTGGCAAGATTTTTTTTATTGTGTGTCGGTAAGGATGACATGGTCCAATTAATGGGTTTTGTGCCAGGAACTAGGTGTCGGCTTTATCCGTCGGTTCCGTGTTTAGCGAGGCTTTACCTGTCGACTCCTTGCTTTGCTCTATATTCCGGCTATGACCGCAGGCACAGTGAAAACGCAGGGCTGCAGTGGGGTATGTTTGTGCGCCCTTGCGGAGCGGCAGCGCAGGAGGAGGAGGAAGGGTCGGCCGGCCCGCTGGCACAGTTGGCTCCTCTCCAAACACCTATCAGGGGCGCCGCGACCGATCCCACTGGGGCACCTGTCGCCGCTCGTACTCTGCGCTTACTATTTTTAGTAATCGTGTTCCAAGCCTCCGCCTGTCTGTCGTTTGTTTATCAATCTTCGTCCTTGACCACCTCTCCACGGATTGTCTGCTTCTATTATTCGCCTGTTCCTAGCCTGCCCTCCCTCCTCCCGCCTGCTGCGTTTTCCCTCCATCTGTCCTCAGTCTTTTCCTCCTCACGGCTCACCTACTTTGTTGCCTCGAATATCAGAGCTGGCGCTTTTGTCTGAACTCTCAGCCGCTACCCACCAGTTCCGGGTCATTGCCATTCCACGCAGCCACTCTGCGTTACAGCAGTTGCTTCCGCGAGCTATTCAATGTCCATAGCAATCACCGCCTGCCGGAGCAGACCGCTCGATACGAATTGGCCTCTCCGTTCGTTGATTTGACATTTCGAGAGGGCTCTTCTGATGACCGCATACGTCCGATTTGATGCTACTGGTCTGTCTATGCGATAGGCGGAAATGTCTGTCTTCCCTGGACTTTCCTAGGACTTGCGTCACTCCTAGTCTAGGACTGACGCTGGTAGGCCCGCACCTTCGATTAGTTCCTGCAGGCTTGCTGTACCCATTGCCTCCACTCTCGCCCTGCTCC